TGCAACAAGTGAAAGAATGGATCGCATCTGGTATCTCCTTTTTTTCCCTCTCATTCTCCATAATCCAGACATAAGATTAATTTATAATATTGTTCTCTCATAGGCCTTTATCTTGATTGTATATAAACTATAAAGGTCAACTATGAAATATATTGATTGTGAAAAAAGAAAGATGAGTGCATTTTTTTAATTACACTGAATAATGAGATTAAGATAGAAAGATTAGTCCAAATACTCAACATGATAGAAGTCTGTTTAGGTGGATTAAATGTTATATGAACTTAAAGCAGAAGCTAGAAATCACCAAACTCTGGCTAATCAAGTTGGTTGAATTTATCAGTAAGATGATAAAGTTCGAAAATGATGTATACACGATACAAAGTCTCTGACTTCATTGATACCATCAAATCAGTGTGATTAATAGGAGACTAGCTACTTATTCATTATAATTGTTATATTTAAACAATATCAGGATGAGACAGCAGTGCGCTTGGTAGAACCATCTTTGCGGACATCTGAGTACCGACCCATCAATATTTTCGTCAACTTTTATTCAGGTAGCTCTGCATTTTGTTGACTTGCTTGTTTATGGCTGGTGACCCATTTGGAAAAGAAAATTAGACTTTGTCTAATTTACGACCTCCTCTATTAGTGTATCTTCTTTTTTTCTTTGGAAAAGAAAAATAGATGTTTTCTAATTATTTCAAATTGATACATTACTTGTGTTTAAAAACTTAAATATTTTAATTGAGTGAATCTACAGCTTGTTTGTTAATTTAGATTAGATAAAACAATCCCCAGATACATCTAAGTGGGATTACAGTCCTCTTTAGTGTTTTTCTACTTCTCCATGAAACTCTTTATGACTTGAAGTTTTACGCTTTTTAATTCTCTTTTCCAGAGCCAGAATACAAATTCAAAGTTCCAAGGACAAATTTTTTTCCTCAGCCTAATGTAAGTCATTAAATTCAATATAAATAAGGTTTTGTGCTTTATCATATGGTGGCGTTGTGTTTCTTTAAAAGGACCTAGGAACATTATCAAACTCCTTTACCGGAAACTTGGTCATAAAGTGCACCCTAAATTTCCTGGAAATATTCAAATCTTTTCTACTCTTTATTGTGGAATTATGTGGCTACTGCAATTATCTGGAGATGCTTCAGGTTTTAGAACCTGGGTTGAACATTGCAGATTCTTATAATAGTCATCTTTCAGAAGATTGTTGATTGATGATGTGCTCAATATATGTAGTTTGAAATGACAATTACCTTGGTGATCTTTCTTCAATGGAACCTGAACTGTTTCTGCTTCTGTAGGTTGATGCAGCTGTTGTTACGTTTAAGCTGAAGCAGGCTAGAGAATATCCTCCTGTTTCATCCACCAAAAGTTTCTTCTCAATGGTTATTTCAATTTCCATTTAACCAACTATTTTACCCTTTTGTTAATATGGATCTTTATCAGGAAAGCAAGATTCTGCATTCATGTAGATTTCTCTTTGTTAATATTTCATTTTGATGCTAGGTTTATCAGAAAAGTTAAAAACAAAATTTACTCCAATTATAGAGGATAGAAACTGTGATGCCTGGTATACCAATTAAGTACCTTCTTTTAGGTCATGTTGGGAGCATATTCAGAAATATTTTTAAGTTATTTTCATTTCATAACAAGGCTTTGTTGTTTACAATACAGGTGAATTCTGCATTCAATGGAAAACGTAAGATGTTGCGGAAATCCTTGCAGCACATATGCACATCCCTAGAGATTGAAAGCGCTCTTGGAATTGCTGGTCTTCCAGCTACTGTGAGTATATCTGAAGCAGACATAACTTCTTTGTTTCTCTTGCTATCCTCTCTCCATTCTATCCGAGGCTATGTTTGGAATAGATTTAGAAATCTTTTAGAATTTGTTTATAAAATCAAATAATGTATTTAATTTCAAATTTCAATTCAAAATAATACTAAATTTTACTTTAAATTAGAAGAATTTGTTTTAAATTTTACAAAAATATATAAAATTTATAAGATATGATTTCAATTTTACATAAAAATTTTATAAAATATTAATCTGTGACATTTTTAAAATAAAATTTATATATTCTTATAGCTGAATAAAATATATATTTACAGTAAATGTTATAAATTTCTGATCTTGTTCCAAACATAGATATACTGTAAACTTTCCAGTATCCCTAATGTCTGTTATCCTCATGCAGTCAAGACCGGAGGAGCTTACCTTGGATGATTTTGTGAAATTGCATAATATAATCGTCGACGTATAGCATGTCCAGACCCCTCTTATGAGGATACATTGACTGCAAATATCCAAGAGGTAGGCGGATAAACATATAGCATCTTCAGCTTGATTAAACTTCGAAATGATTAGATTATATGATGTGATATGAATTTGTAGTGCAACCTAAAGAATCCATTAGCATGAATACTTCAATCCTGTTTAATATAATGAGTATACAAACATAATAGATACATCCGGAAGAAAAAAAAAATCTAGCAAATTAGCAGTACGAGAACAGCCATAATACTCTGTTACAGACTCTGCGCTGTATTTTCTTTTGGTTTTTGTAACATTGCCCTCTGGTTCTTCATCCATGAAAATGTTGGAGAAGATCGAGAGCCCGCGACCTGCGGACATACGGATCAAATACCTCAGCGCCCCTGACAAACCCATCATAAAATACCCTCCTCTCCTCCGCCACGGCGGCCGAAGACGGCGAGAGGCGGCGTTTAGTCCTCTTGTTCTTGATGAAGCAATCCCGCATCCTTTCCTCCACGCTGTCAATCATGGGCTTCGAAGCTGAATTCTCCTCAGCGTCAGCTTCCACTTGGTTATCCTCATCGTCATCGCCCATCTGCATTGGCTCGCTACCGTTGGAAGCGGTGGTGGAGGAGAGCGAGTTCCCGCCGACGGCGCACGATTGGAGAGGAAGAGGAGGGAAAGGAGTGGTGGTGGAGGAGGAGGAGAGGAAGGAGGATAATTGGAGATGAGCTTGGTGGAGGGATGAATAGATATGGAGAAGGCGAGTCGGATCAGTGGCGGTAGGGAGTTGTTTGGCCATGAGTGTTGCTTGTTCTAGTGAAACAACAAGCTCTGTCAATGGCGGCGACGGTGGGGGCGGCTGCGGCTGTGGCTGCGGCGGTTCTGTCACGTGACTTATGTTCATGTTTTTTTTTTAAAGAAAAAGTTTTTTGGAGATTCTCTGTGGGTGTGTTGTGGTGTTGATGTTTTAACCGATGGTCAGAAATGAAAGTGAAAGTGTTTGGGGGGTGCGAGGAGTTGGATGAGTGAGAACAGACATCCAAAGGCCGGAACCTAAGCTGATTCCCCTAGGCCCCAGTCCTGAGTCATTATGTTGCTTTTCTAGAAGTTTCCATCTCTCTAAGAATACAAATAGTAAATAAATTACATAAATAAATATCTAAAAGACAAACATGGTAATAATGTAATAATTTCAGTATTATCGCAACATTTTTCTGAATTTTAATATTTTTATGCAAATTGATTGACTTTTTTTTTTTAGTTAAAACGGTCAGTTTCATGGGGTTATAATAAGATAACCAGATTTTTTTAGTAAAGGCTACGTTAACCAGATTCATCTTCCTCACCAGTTGAATAATATTTTGAATAATTAAATAAATTAATTAAAAATTAACAACAAAAACAAAGGTTCCCTCTCATTCTCTCCATTTCAAATTGATAATAAAATTTACCACTCTTTCTGATACAAATTTCAAAAATCCTTTTTCATTTTATTTCTTTCTCCGCAGCGAATATAAACAATTTTTTATTTTTTATCTTGTAATTGGAAATTACACAGTTTGGGTCCAAATAATAAGTATTGGTCAGAATGTCGACTTGTTTTCTACATATAAATATTTTTAAATTTTAATGTTATTGTATAAAATTTATTCTTATAATTTTATATTTAATCATATAAAATAATTATGCATACATACCTATTATTGGATTTATGAAAAAAATAATAGTCTATTTAACTTGATAATTCGTATCAAACATTAAATAATATCACTTTTAAAAACTATGAACATTTAATCATATTTAGATATATATCTTACAGTGTCAAAGACTTACCATAATATAAGAATGCAAAATAAAATATTATCTTTAAGATAAATATGTTAAATACTTTTTTCAAGTTGATATTTATGAAAATTAATTTTAGTAATACAAAGCTCAAAAAATAATTGTTTTCATTAGATGATTTATATTTGCCTTAAAATCCTGATTTATGAATCTCTTAGTTAGATCCGAGTAAGAAAAGAGAATTAAACTATTTCTTTAAAAGAATGATAAATGTTAATTTTTTGTATGTTTTATTGTAATTTTATAATTCAAAATATTTGTTCTTATTTAATCCCTTTAAACTCCATATCCCAAATAACAATTGAATCTACAACTCAATATGTGTTTATTTAATTGTAAATTAACATACATGCACATTAGTAATAAACACTTCTATAGAAACATGCATTACTCACAATTTTAGTTTCAGTACTTCACATACATTTTTTTAAAAAGTTGGAGATAGACCAGTCATAACTTGTTCTATGTGTACTATATGTTTCTGGCGTGGTTACTTCATATATTACTGATAGGAAAAGTCCGATAATAGAGATGATGAATAACAAGCTTGATGGATAAACTGAGGTATTATAATGCAGAATATCACTCTACATTAGAGAGAAGAGGTCAGAATATCACTCTACATTGGACT